AATAATCAATTAGATAAATCAAGTCTCAGTTGTCTGTCCTAATATTCAAAATTATTTTTATAAAATTAGTTTAATTGTAGTATACAAAATCAATTCTAATTACATTTTCTTTTATTAATAAAAACATTGTATTGTTCATAATATTCGTTTAATTTTCATCCAAACTCGCGCTCCGTTAAGTATCATGACGTTCCAAAAAAAGGATAGTTTTACAAAATTAGATAAAAATAGTTACACTAAAAAACAAGAGATAATAAAAAACGAACTTTTTTACAAAACGACCTAATAATTAATTTATACTTAAATATTAATGATATAATAAAATTTATTTTTAATAACAACAACGCAAAATTGATGGGGAAGATGAATCAAAGGTCACTTATATAAAAATTTATTATAAAAATCTAAATAATTAAAATAAAAAATTTTTACTTTCAGATTAGCTACAAAAGTATGTAGCAAGATAAAAAAATTTAGAAAACTTGATTAGCTGCTTAAATGTTATACTAATATACTATAAATGTTATATGTCTATGCAATTTAAATATAATAATTTTAATCTACTAAAGGATGATATTAGAAAATTTAAGGATTAAAATTAAACCAAATACATAAATTATGATAGAGCGATAAAAGAGCGTACTTTACAATATATATATACTTTACAATCAGCGTACTTTACAATATAGACTTGCAGGAAACTATTACGTTGATCTTTAGATATATGAAGAAAATTTTAAATAATTTTCTAAATATTATTTTTTAATTTTTTAAAATAATTCTTATTATTAAATATATAATGATAGTTATTAACGATAATGAATAATTAGTAATAAAAAGTTTATATAATTAAAAAAATTTATTTATATTATAAGCGTCCAGATTTTACAAGCTTTGAAAGGTTTCAATTTCCCGTTAGAGTCGTATTTCGATAGTGATTAAATGATACAATAATGTTTTTATATAAACATAACTTAATAATTATAAATACATATTTATAATTTTAAATATGTATAATATATTACTTTTATTATATTCATTTAATTATTTTTTTACTAGGAAATAGATTGTTTTTTGATTTTAAACAAATTCAGATTGGATTGTAATGAGAGAAAAGTAGCCAGAAATGAAGGAACATATAAATATTTGACATAACTTAAAAATCACATATAGTATCTTAATTTTCCAATATAAATAATTAATCTTCATCAAATATCGCAAATAAACGTGACTCCTTGAGTGCCAATCTCTCTCCTATTGGTTCAAAAATGACTTAATACTAACTTTCTCTTTCCCTTCGAAATACATTATATTAACAATAAAGGCACTTAAGATATACATTATTGTGTTATAAATAACTCATAGACAATAAAAATAAAATTCTATAGTCAAAATAGGGTAATTAGTACAAATTAATATATAGTGCAACAATATAAAAGGCTCACTTTGTTTTGTTGCTTATTTTATTTTAAATAGATAAATAAATAATTAAAAATAAATATTTCAAAAGTTATTTTTATAAAGTTTAAGCTTAATTTGTTAAAAAGAATAAAACACCATCAAAAAATTTAATGTAATTTTCCTAAAATTAATTATATTATTTCTACTCTATCAAGTTCATGTAAAAAATGATTTAAAAACATAATAATTTTTTAAATAATGACGTAGAAAATTCATAAGCTTTTTAACTAAATTAAAAAAAAATTCACAAAAAATTTATAAAAAAATCTCATCATCGGAAACGGTCTAATACCAATTTTGTTGGAAATAAAATTCAAGCAAAATATTTATAAAATTATTTTATATTTTTCCATTAATCATAATATTATTTTTGTAAAAAAATAACATTATTATTTTGCTCAAAACTTTCCCTCTTTTTGCTTAATCATCTAAAACTTGTTTATTTAAATGTTTCAATTTTACGATTAATTCATTCACTTTCTTAGCCATTTTTTCCCTTTTAAGCTTCACCCTTTCCCAATATATAAAATTGTTTGTTGAATAAAAATATAAAATTTGAATTAAAAAATAATTGTTTGAGTAAATATTATTTGAGATTATATTAATATTTGTAATTTTAATTTATTGAAATTATTAAAATTAAAATTTGAGCTTCAAATGAGTAAGGAACGGACAAGAATCTGTTTTTATTTAAGTAGAAAAAACAAAAAATGTTTATTAAAACTTTAAGAAATTGTTTAGATTAAAAGTCTAACAATTATATGTATTCACATTATTTCAGGCAGGTATTCCACATTATTATTTTTTCCTTAAATTCATTTAAAATTTTTATTAAATTTTTCCTTAAAAATAGGTTCATTTCTTCCATTTATAAAATATTTATTTTAAATTCGTTTCTATAGAAACAATTTATTTTTATTGAAGTATAAATTTTTTTAAATTTTGATTGATTTTGTTTAAAAAATATAAATGGAACAATGGGATACTTGGCTAGCTAATGATATTTTTGTTTGTAATAAAATTAAAAATGAAAATAATATTAAAGAAACAACAAATAAATTGTCAGAAAATGTTAGTAATAATAACCTGAATAATACACGAGAAATAAATAAATCAGATGAAACAATAACGACTCCTTTATGGTCACCAAAAATTGTATTTTTTTATGTAGTTATAATTAATTTTTTTACTTAATTAAATTTCAAATGAAAGCATCTCTCGATACGTTTGAATAGGGTTGGCGGGCCCGGTCAGGTCGTGCATCGAATTTTGCACGAAAAAGACTCGGTCGGTCCGCTTTGATAAAAATAAGGCCCGAAAAAATGACCAGAACGTCAGCCCGTTACGAACATCCTAACCCTACTCTTGAATTTGATAAAATTATCAAACTTATCTGACACTTCGGGGTCTTGATTTTCAAGGGTCGTTGTTTGCCAGGGAGGAATTGTTGCTGTCAAAGGTTTCGAGGGACGGGGGCTACACTATTTTTAAATATAGAATATTTAAAATTATTTTTAAAATTAACTTTCATTTATTACAAAAATTCACTAAAATAATTTTTAGTCCTATTAATAATTTCTAACGATTTTTAAAGATGGAAAACCCCAAAAAACTTAATTGTACATCAAAAAGTGATTTGTATTCATTTATTCAATTAATTGAAAGGAAGAAACCTTTAAATGAAATTTTAAAAATTGAAAACCTTTCAGGTATCTAAAAATATTTTTTTATAAATTTTTGTTTAAAAGATGAATTAAAGAAGGAGGCAATTCTTTGGGATGAAAAATTTCCAGATTTGACAATATTTGGAAAAGGGATAAAGAAAAGTTTGGAACAACAAGAAAGAGATAATTTAAGAAAAATAATTTCAAAAAGAATTATCGAAGAGCATTTAATGTCTGAGGTTTTTTAAATTCAAAATTTAAAAAATATTATTTAGGTCTATGCTTCTCTTAATACAAGGAATTCAGTAAATAATAAGTCGAAATCTGGCCATTACTTTCTCCCACCTATATTGAATTCTCAAAAGGAGTTGAATAAAATGATGAACAAAAGATGAAAATTCATAAGTTTTAAAGACATTCTAATCATTTCTAAAAAGGGGTACTTCTAATTTTTTATCCTTAATTCTTCACAATTTCTTACGCAATATAGTCATGCTCAGTTGATTTAATTAAATCTAAAATTATAATATTCAGTCTGTTGGGTATCTAGTGTTAGTGTTTATTAGTGTTATTCCGTAGTTATTCTATTCAGTCAGTTTTATTCTAGTGCTTCATAAAGTCCGTTAAGAAAGTATAAGACCCCCCTATTTTTTGCTGTTACTCATATATCCAACAGGCTAAATGAAGCAAAATTTTTATACATGATAGATATCAGGTAAATATAAGGATAGAGAAAGTTTCAAAGAGATTGCTTTCGTTTTAAATTTTTTACGATTTTTTTCAAAAAATTGAGTGTTAAGAAATTATAAGACCCCTTTGGATTCTCATACTAGAAATGTTAGAAAAATTCCACAAAAATTCCTGTGAACATTTCCATCAATATCGAGTAAAAAAGCAAAAAGAACGAAGTCTGTAAATGCTTCCTTCATTGAGATCTCAAACCCCCAAAATCAACGGAAAACGTGGTTACAGTAATTAAAAAAATATTTTGACCCCCTTATGGGTTGTATAAAAATTTTATTTTTAGCCCGACAGAAAGAGCAGAAAATTTGCTACAAAATACATTTGGTCCCACCCCGGAGAAAAATCTTACCATTGAGGACTCGTCAGTTAAATTTAAAAATTCGAAAAAATAACAATTTATGGGGTAATTTGAGAGAATTTCCTCTTCTATTCCTTTAACCCATGGCTCCTCAATGGTAAGTTCCTATTGTTCGTTACTATCCTATTGTTCGTTACTATTTCGTGTCACGACACTTGAGATATGATATTTGCAGACCCGACATTTGCAGATAATATTGGCCCGACATTTGCAGATTAGATGAAATGTGAAATTCTAATGCTACATAAAAATTAATATTTTATTTTGTCAGTTAATTGGTTTTTAGGATTTTAAATTTTTTTTTAAATTAAAAAAAATTTTTTAATTTTTTTTTAAACCCAGGTATTGGTCCAGGCCCAGGCCGATCTCTAATGTTACAATTAATCTACTTACATAAATTCTAATTTATTTAACTATTTCAATTTAATAAAAGAATACTTTAAATTGCAACATATGATAGCCTTCCGTTATATTATAGTAACGAATCAAATCACCAAATTGTTTTTGTTCTTCATCCAATAATTTATCAAATTTACTTCCTTCCTCTTCTTCCAATACTGGATCTCCAATCACAAAACGAATTATCATATTTTTACTCTTAAAATTTTATTTTATATACAGCTAGCTAGTATAATGAACTCTCTCTACAATAAAAATCTTTCTCTATTAAACTTTTTCAAGGTTAAGTAATGGAAGTAAATGTCTTAATAAATTCACGACTGAAAATTTGTTCGAACATTGGATTGTTCAAACTAGAGCAGCACCCCATCTCCCGAAACCCCGACACGAACCCCGACGAATTTTAAGCAAAAACCCCGACCCGAACCCCAAAGTCTTTAATCCAACAAAACCCGATCCTAGACGCCCACTCCCGTGCATGAAAATCCCGACCCTACTCCCATCCCCGACAAATTTTTTGGCAAAAACCGCAACCCGAACCCCGAAGGCTCTACTCCGGTAAACCCCGATCCCCGACGATCCCGCCCCCAAAGGCTCGGGGTGCTACCCAAGTTCAAACACATAATAATAAATAAATTTGTCTAACAAATAATTTAAATTATTTTTTACCGCGTCTTTAGCCCAACTATTCCTAATTCCCATACGTCTATGAAACAATTCTCTTCTAGTATTAACAAACACAGCTAGCTCTATTTGACTTCCAATACAAGGATCTTTTCTTGGTTTTTCCATTTTATAATGTTTTTGTACATTAGAAATAGCCAATGTAAAATTTGTCAAAATGCTTTCATTTTTATGAAGTAAATAAAGTAGATTAATGTTTGTATATTTCAAAAGAAGCAAAATAGGAACAAAACAGGCAGCTAAGACCAAAAATAGACGAAAACCTCGATTCCTTTAATAATAAAAATTATTTTAATCAACAAGGAAACAAAAATTAAAAAGTTTTTTTACAGTTGAATCTCACTTCACTAGCACAGAAAATTAAAGAATAAAGGAGAAATTATGATTTTGATATATATCCGAAATTGGTTAGGGTTGTAAGGATCAAAGGTGTAATCCTTGAGAAAGCAATAAAAACCCCACCTAGAGAGAAGGTACATATAAGCTAAAAGAAAATAAGGAAAAGCAGCATAGTTGATTTTCATTCCAACTTAGTTCTTCATTAATCAATGGCCTAGTGTTCGGTTGGCTATAAGCCTGACCAAGTGGTTAACAAATATCATTCACTCCGCTCGCTACGTCACCTCTGGCAAATCTATTCTATTCACCGCACGCATTACCATCAACATCTTCTCTCTTAATTAGGCTGGCCCCTCTAGTTAAAATTAACTAGGTTTTGGAAGCAGTTGAAGAAACTTATCTTGGATTATCTATCATTGTATGATATTCTAATGAGTCCCGTCTGAATTAAATTATTTGATTAACAGGGAAAATTGGTGTATTCTCGAAAAAAATTTAAAAAATATTATTGATAAATAAATTTTATTTTTAGTAAAAGCTTGCCGTTTAAAACATGTGTAGAACCATGTATATATTTTGCTTAAAGTTCTACTTGAGCGAGTAATTAAAAAAGAATTACAATTTGTTAAATATTTAAGCATTGATATTTTTAAAAAATAACAAGGAAATTTTGATATATGTAAATGTTTCCTAGTGAAAGACACGTAAATATATAAATTTATTAAAATAAAGAGCAAACAAATTTGTTAGTTTTTTTAAAACACTACTCATACAATGTAATTTTTCCTAAAAAAATTTTATGTTTAAAAAGAATAAAATTCGCTTTCAAGAATGATGAGATCAATTTCTATCAACAAAAATATTTTTTCTAAAGCTCAAAAAATTTTCAGAGAAATGCCTAAAGTATTAGGTATTGCTACACAATTTTTAACTGCGACTCTCCTAAGCCTTCCAAATTCTTAAAATTTTCGCCTGCGGCGCAGAAAATGAAAATGAGATTAAAGGGGATATTAATAGGTAAGGGGATATCAAGAGGTAAGGGGTATCAAGATTGAAATTTCATTAAGAGTGATCGTTATGGATATAGGACAGGTGAGAGCAAGATTAATAGTAAGCAATCTGAGGAAGAGTCTTTTTGAGGAAAGTGCAGAAATGATTTTATTTTTTCCATTACAATCTCGAAATTTATAATTTTGAATATGATTAAAATATTTAAGATTCGCATTTCGGATTTCATATTTAATTTTTTAAAAAGTTTCGCATTTCGGTTTTTTTAGAGTTCGTGCATTCCTGGTGTACACCAACCCTAATATTGCATACAAGTCGAATATACCAATTGAATTATTTTTTTATTATTTAAATTTTACTATAAATCTTTTTATTAACAATTATTAACTCATTATAAACTTTTACAACTATATAATTTATCCTTAAAAATTTCACATCTTACATCAATTAAGGCAAAGTTTGGTTTCACTATCACATTTATCTGGGCAACTTGTACAAGGCTCCCCAGCATGATAAACACATCTTGTATAAACATTTCCACTAAAATTAATTATAGAAAATTAAGTAAATATTTATTACGGTGGTTTGTATTGGCAAACAACATAAGTTTCATATAGAGGGCAACGTCCAATTCCACACCCAACTTGATAAGTTTGCCACCAAGCAAGTTGTGTCCAATGTCCAATACCTCTATTATTTTGAGGTGCATCAAATGGAACGCAGTCTTGGCCAGGATAAGGTCCCAAAGCTCCTCTGTATTCCAACTCTGACCACCATCCTTTTACTACATACTCGATGGCAGCAGCTTTAATTTAGAGAAATAAGATTTATTTAAATTACTAAATACCATCATCGTCCCTTCTTGCATAAGCATAGAAATTCTCTCCATAATTCCCATAAGGGTCCGAATGACTATAGGTGCATTTATCAGCCCATGCCTGTGCCTGCTTTTCAAGTTCTAAAGAAAATTCCATTTTTTTCAAATCTTTTGCTTTTGGCAAAAACTCTCCAGTTTTGTTTTTAACCCTTCCCGCAGCTAATTCCGCACGGAAATAATTGTGCCAATAAACTACTGCATCACGTCCAGCCTGGTCAATTGCGTTAGTAACTAAACAGAATTTTTATTTTTTAAATAGAATTAAATATTACATTCATTATTAATAATGGCAGACAATGCCAGGAAAGCTAATAATGAAATAAACATTTTGTTTAACTAATTAAGCTATAATATTTAATTAATTTCTTCAATGTTTTGAGTTAACTATTAAAATTTCTGGCTTTTATAGCAAAATTTTATACCACACAATTTAATAATTGTGTGGTCCAGGCATTTAAATATTGTTTATTTAGCTGTGAATTTAAATAAATTAATTAAATTTTACAAAAAAAAATTAAAAAAGTACATTTAAACTTGAACAGGCTATAAATTTATTATTAAATAAGTTAACATTTTTTCAAATTATTTAATTTAGAGATATAATTTAATTTGATTTTTAAAATTTTATTATTAAATAATTTTATTTAACACAATTATTAAATTGTGTGGTATAAAATTTTGCTATAAAAGCCAGAAATTTTAATAGTTAACTCAAAACATTGAAGAAATTAATTAAATATTATAGCTTAATTAGTTAAACAAAATGTTTATTTCATTATTAGCTTTCCTGGCATTGTCTGCCATTACTGCGTTCCATTTGATGCACCTCAAAATAATAGAGGTATTGGACATTGGACACAACTTGCTTGGTGGCAAACTTATCAAGTTGGGTGTGGAATTGGACGTTGCCCTCTATATAAAACTTATGTTGTTTGCCAATACAAACCACCGTAATAAATATTTACTTAATTTTCTATAATTAATTTTAGTGGAAATGTTTATACAAGATGTGTTTATCATGCTGGGGAGCCTTGTACAAGTTGCCCAGATAAATGCGATGATGAAACCAATCTTTGCCTTAATTGATGTAAGATGTGAAATTTTTAAGGATAAATTATAACTAGGGTTGTACCCCGAACGTTCGGGGGCGGGTATGTCGGGGTACGGGGTTTTCCAATTGTTTCGGGGCGGGGTTCGGGTCGGGGGAGCAAAATATGGCCGGGGTTCGGGTCGGGGTACGGGGGTTTAGTGGAAAAATTTTTAGAGAAAAAATGCTCAAAAATATTTAGAAATCGATATATTTTGTTGATTTATTCAAAAATTAAGTAGGTTTTGAAGAAATTAGAGGGGATTTGAAGGGATTAAAGCGTATAACTTGGGATATAAGTGGATCTGGAGGGATTAAGTGGGATTTTTAGGGATTAAATGGTATATCTAGGGATACAAGGTGATCTGGAGTGATTTTTGTTGGTTCAAGGGATATTAGTGATTTATAAGAATATTGATGTATTGCGGATAAGGGTATTTGGACGGATATCAGGAGAATCTTCGATTATTCCTTAAATCTCCCACCTTATATCCCTTTAAAACTCCTTAATTCTTCGATATCCTACAAATCCCTTTATATCTCTGATTCCCATTAACATGACCTCGATAGTTTTCCAACTGATGGTTGAGAACTGGTGATACAGAGGGTTTGAAGGATTAAGGGTGGTTCAAGGGATATCAGTTAAAAATAAAATTAATATTTTCAAATTAAAATTTAACTCGTTAATAATTTGTTTTTGTGAAAAAATATACAAACAACAGAGTTATCCTTATATGGATCCGAACCCAATCCTATATTAATGAAATATCGGCTAAAACCAATGACTAAGCCACTCAACCACAAGTCTCTTAATAAAGAAGGAAAGAAAATTATGATATTTCATTCATTTTTCTTTCAAAAATAATAAAAGCAAAGTAAAATGTATGGAAATTTTTTAAATTTTCTTCATTAATTTCTCCAAAAAATGACATTTTTTAGGGGTATAAAACCCCGTAACCCCGAAACTTTTTGGGCCGGGGAACGGGGTTTTCACTTTTTTTCGGGGCGGGGTTCGGGTCGGGGAGAATCGTGAAAAAATCGTTCGGGAACGGGGTCGGGGTTCGGGGTACGGGGTCGGGGTACAACTCTAATTATAACGATATATGTAGTTGTAAAAGTTTATGTGTTAATAATTGTTAATAAAAGGTTTTATAATAAAATTTAACTAATAATAAAATAATTCAATTGGTATGTTCGACTTGTATACAACATTAGGGTAGGTGTACACCAGGGGTGGGCAAACTCTAAAAATAAAATGCAGAATGCGAAACTTTATAAAAATAATATAGGGGATTGGACATTGTAAGATGTGAAATAAATGTGATAGTAAAACAAATTAGTTAAAAATTCTAAAATATTTTAACATTATTCAAAATTATAATTTCGAGATTGTAATTGAAGATCTGAGGAACAACCTCCAAATCTGAACAACCTCCAAATCTGAACAACCTCCAAATCTTCTTAATCCGACTATATCCCTTGATATCCCACTTAATCGACAAAATCCCCTTAATCCCCAAATTCCTCGATAACCACCATGATACTCCAAATCTATTGTATTTCCATTAGTTCCACGATATCCTTTGAAATCCCCGATATCTCCCAAATCCACTGATTTTTTAATCCAGCCAAATTTGCCGATTTCCTCATTAATCTCCAAATTTTCGATATCTCTTATAAGCTCCACACGAAAAAATGAAAATTTTTGGCCGCGGTAGGTCGGGTAGAGGTAAGAATTAAGGATTTGTTCACTGACGGATAGCCCACTGACGGATTGTTCGACCACTGACGGATTGTCCACTGAAGGATTTTCCACTGCCGGATTGTCCACTGATGGATTGTCCGGTCACGCCAATATCCATAGATTAAATCAGGGCTCTCTTTCGTACTTTTTTAAAAGTATTCTACTTTTAAATCGACCTCCATACTTACGAAATTGAATTTGTACTTTTTTGAAAGTATCTACTTTTAAATCGACATTTTTGAAAAAAACGAAGAAATCTGGCTTAAGGACCTCCAAAATTCTCAAAATTTTCGCCTGCGGCGCAAAAAAGGAAGCATACTTTTGATTGGCATTTTGTCGATCGGAGCTCAGTAAAAAAGAAATTATTAGAAAAGATTAATTTAGATGAGAAATATGAAACATTTGAGCACGAATAAATATTTTCTAATTTAATTTTGAGTGTACTTTTTATTTGGAAATTTAATCCCTATCTACCTTTTAATCAAGATTTTGATACTTTTGATTGGCATTTTGTCGATCGGAGCCCTGGATTGATCACTAGTAAAAGCTGTCCAGACAAGTGAAAAGCTCCCCAGACAAGTGAATCAGAAAAACCATCTAACCAGAATCAGAAAAAAACAATCTAAAATTGGCCACTATTTAAAATATCAGGATTTGAATGTTGAATATATAATAATTTTGTTAATTTTATACACTGCTCTACATAAGTATAAGTCTACCTTTTTTCATGATTTTTTATTTACAATGATCTAGATTTTCTGAAAATTTAGATACACACCTTTTAGTGAATATCTAACAAATTCTTGTACTATAACGATTTCAATGTTTATTGTTAAATAAAATTATTTAATAATAAAATTTAAAAATCAAATTAAATGATAGTTTTTATTTTATTTGTTTAAAATTTTATTAAAAATTTAACAAAATAGATTGGGAAAAAATAATTTTTATAGAAATATTAAAGTTTTATTTGATTTTAAATTAAAAAATTTTTAAAGCTTTTATCAAATAAAATTTATTTTTAATATTTAATTGCGTAAATATGCAGTCCTTTTAAAAAAATTTTTTTAACAATTTTGGTGCAATTCAATTTTTAGCGTCGCAGGCGAAAATTTTAAAGATTTCGTAAAAACTATAACATTTTATATTAAAAACTACAAGAAAATATAAAAAATCCTATAATATCCAAAAAACACAAAATGAGGCAAAATACGCAGAAATCGGATCCCTGAACTAAATAATTTAGTTCATAATTTAGATAAATAAATTAGTTCTTCCGCCCATTCAATTAGTTGAAATGTACTTTTTTAATTTTTTTGTAAAATTTAATTAATTTATTATAATACACAGTTAAATAAACAAAATATGCACGTCTGGACCACACAATTATTAAATTGTGTGGTATAAAATTTTGCTATAAAAGCCAGAAATTTTAATAGTTAACTCAAAACATTGAAGAAATTAATTTAATATTAGAGCTTAAATAATTAAACAAAATGTTTATTTCATTATTAGCTATATTGGCATTGTCTGCCATTATGAATATTGAATGTAATATTTAGTTTTATTTAAAAAATAAAAATTCTGTTTAGTTACTAACGCAATTGATCAAGCTGGACGTGATGCAGTAGTTTATTGGCACAATTATTTCCGTGCTGAATTAGCTGCGGGAAGGGTTAAGAACAAAACTGGAGAGTTTTTGCCAAAAGCAAAGGATTTGAAAAAAATGGAATTTTCCCTAGAACTTGAAAAGCAGGCACAGGAATGGGCTGATAAATGCACCTATAGTCATTCAGACCCTTATGGGAATTATGGAGAGAATTTCTATGCTTATGCAAGAAGGGACGATGATGGTATTAAATAATTTAAATAAATTTATTTCTCTAAATTGAAGCTGCTGCCATCGAGTATGTTGTAAAAGGATGGTGGTCAGAGTTGGAATATAGAGGAGCTTTGGGACCTTATCCTGGCCAAGACTGCGTTCCATTTGATGCACCTCAAAATAATAGAGGTATTGGACATTGGACACAACTTGCTTGGTGGCAAACTTATCAAGTTGGGTGTGGAATTGGACGTTGCCCTCTATATAAAACTTATGTTGTTTGCCAATACAAACCACCGTAATAAATATTTACTTAATTTTCTATAATTAATTTTAGTGGAAATGTTTATACAAGATGTGTTTATCATGCTGGGGAGCCTTGTACAAGTTGCCCAGATAAATGTGATGATGAAACCAATCTTTGCCTTAATTGATGTAAGATGTGAAATTTTTAAGGATAAATTATATAGTTGTAAAAGTTTATAATATGTTAATAATGTTAATAAAAACTTTGATATACAAAAATGTAACTTTCTTTTGACCCTTTCGCGGTAAAAAATTTAAAGTGCACTAAAAAATGTGATGCGAAACGCGAGAATGAGAAATTAGTTAAAAATTCTAAAATATTTTATTTATATTCAATTATAAATTACGAGATTGTAATGGAAAAATAAAAGAATTTATGCATTTTCTTGAAGAAGACTCTTCGTCAGATTGCTTACTATTAATCTTACTCTCACCTGTCCAATATCCATAAATATCATCACTCTTGATGACATTGCAATATCTGGTTTATTTTTCACATCTGAATCTCTTGATATCCTCTTTAATCTCAAACCTATTTTAAGAATTTCGAAAATTTCAAGTATTTCGAAGGCCTTAGGAGAAAATTTTTTTTGAAGTTTAGATGCTCTTTTCAATTCTTTGCGTCGCAGTAAAAATTTTGAGCATTTTGGTGTCCAAAGAGCTTAATATTTCCTCCAAGGATCCTTATGTTGGATACTGTTTCAACAGAATATAGATGAATATTTTTCTAAAGGAGAAAGGAGTGTTGGATCCCTATTTTGATGTTTTATTTAATTTTTAAATAATGTTGTTTTTCCTATTCCCCTAATAACACAATTTAAATATTTCTTATCAATTTGTTTTATTATTCCTTTTTCCTCATTGTAAATCCTTTTAATGTTTCTTTATTAAATTCAAACTATTCCTCATCAACATTCGCTTCCCTTTTATCTAAACATTCCCTATTCAAAACATTCCCCTAAAACATTTCTTATCTAAACAAACCTTTACAACTGTCTGTCCATTTTATATTAAACTTCCGCCCATTTCCTTACCCTATAAATACTAATTTATCTTTTACCTTTCAAGCTCGTCTTGATCAAACTTGCTCCCAAACTAAACCCCAACTTAATTAAATAAACTTTAATAAACTGTGTATAATTATTTGTTGAGTATTTGAATTAGATTTATTAGTATTTGAGTATTTAAAAGAAGATATTTAATTTATTATTAAATAGAAGAACCGGGACACAATACCTTATATCCTTCTAAATTTGAGCTTTAGTAAAAATATTTTTGGCGATAGAAATTGATCTCATCATTCTTATAAATGAATTTTATTCTTTTCAAACATAAATTTTAGATAGGAAAAATTACTTTGTATGAGTTGTGTTTTAGAAAAACAAACAAATTTGTTTACTCTTTATTAAATAAATTTATAGTTACGTGTCTTTCACTAGGAAACATTCATATCAAAAAATTCCTTGTTATTTTTTAAAAATATCAATGATAAAATATTTAACAAATTGTAATTCTTTTTTAATTACTCGCTCAAATAGAACTTTAATCAAAATATATACATGGTTCTACACATGTTTTAAAAGGCAAGCTTTTACTGAAAATAGAATTTCTTATCAATAATATTTTTAAAATTTTTTTCGAGAATACACCAATTTTCCCGTGGGAATTACCTGTTTATCAAATAATTTTTTAATTCAGACGGGACTCATTAGAATATCATACAATAATAGATACCGAAAATGCTTGAATAATTATTACCTCTCAAATAATTACCCTCTTTAATAATTACCCCCTCCCTTTCCTTCTTTAATTTTAAAAATATTGAAAAAATCATTGTCAATTTTAATCATTGAAAGATTATAAGAATCAATATCAAAAAATAAATGGATTTCCTCTTCGATTTATTGAGATATACCCAAAATTTAGCCGATCCTCTCGATTAATTACCCCATCCAGAGAGAGGTCGAAAAATAATTACCCAGGGTAATTATTCGAGCATATACGGTAATCCAGGATAAGTTTCTTTAACTGCTTCCTGAACCTTAACAAATTTGGGATACTATTATAATATCAAAATTATAGCCTTATAATTTTTGTTTCCTTGTTGATTATAATTTTTTATTATTAAAGGAATCGAGGTTTTCGGCTATTTTTGGTCTTAGCTGCTTGTTTTGTTTTTATCTTGCTTCTTTTGAAATATACAAATATTAATATACTTTATTTACTTCATAAAAATGAAAGCATTTTGACGAATTTTACATTGGCTTTCTCTAATGTTCAAAAACATTATAAAATGGAAAAACCAAGAAAAGATCCTTGTATTGGAAGTCAAATAGAGCTAGCTGTGTTTGTTAATACTAGAAGAGAATTGTTTCATAGACGTATGGGAATTAGGAATAGTTGGGCTAAAGACGCGGTAAAAAATATTTAAATTATTTTTTCGAACAAATTTATTTATTATGTGTTTGACTATGGTAGCACCCCTAGCCTTCGGGGCGGGATTGTCGTGGATCGGGGTTTGCCGGAGTAGAGCTTCTGGGATCGGGTTGTGGTTTTTGCCCAAAAATGAGTGGGGATGGGGGTGGGTCGGGGTTTTCCTGCGCAGGTGTGGGCGTCGGGGATCGGGTTTTGTCGGGGTAAAAACTTCGGGGTTCGTGTCGGGGTTGGTTTTTGATTAATTCGTTGTCGGGGGCCGGGTCGGGATTTAGAGAGCACGGGGGACGGGGTGCTACTCTAGTTTGGACAAGCAAATGTTCGAAAAATTTTTAGTAATGAATTAATTAAGACGGTTACTAGGTCCATTACTTAACTTTGAAAATGTTTAATATAGGGAGATTTCCGTTGTAGAGTGAGAGTTCATTAAACTTGTTAGTTGTATATAAAATAAAATTTTAAGAGTAAAAATATGATTATTCGTTTTGTGATTGGAGATCCAGTACTGGAAGAAGAGGAAGGCAAAAAATTTGATAAATTATTGGATGAAGAACAAAAACAATTTGGTGATTTGATTCGTTACTATAATATAACTGAAGGCTATCATATGTTGCAATTTAAAGTATTCTTTTATTAAATTGAAATGGCTAAATAAATTTGAAATTTATATAATTACATTAATTGTAACACTAGAAATCGGCCTGGGTCTGAACCAATGCCTGGGTTTTTCCTGTACCCAGAGTCCAGGCCCAGGCATTTTTTGACCTCCCGGAGTTTTCCTGGTCTACACGCCAAGGATCAGGCCCATGTCAATAAATCAGGCCCAGAACTCAGGAATAGGCCCAGGCATTTCAAAAATACCGATCTTTAGTTAACATGATATTAGTTCCATATAAGCTTCAGGAACTAGCTTCTCACATTCAAGATTAGGAAATCCGACAGAAATCGGTTCTGTGATTGTTTTTTAGTATCAAAATTCACTGATCGAAACAATAACATTAGGTAGGTGTCGCTTTTCAATGGCAACAAAAATGGTGCCCTAATGCGGAATATGTTATGAAAACTGATGATGATGTAATCATTGATTTGCCTCGTTGGGCTTTCTGGAATGAAAACAAATTTAAAAAACAACTGAAAGAAACTGGAACTGGCCTAGCATTTTTTGGATATTTAGTAGATGAAACACCTACAATAAGGGAAAAGGACAATAAATGGTAAGGATTATTGTCTTATGTGTGTTTACATGGCATAATTCTCGAATACACCATGATAGATATGATTAGAATAATTTAGGTATTTATCTGAGGAGGAATATCCAAAAGAATTTCTTCCAAAATATATGCATAATACATTCTTTGCAAACAGTAAAACGATAAAATTAGTGATGAAACACACAAAAGAATTTTATGGAATACACATTGAAGATACTTTATATGCTGGAATAATAGCTAAAAAAGCAAATATTTCTCTTTTTGATCTGTCTCAAGTTCATATTCGGGAAGAGAATGTTTGTTTTTATTAAATTTTACTAAATAAAAATAGTTTTTAGTTGGTGGATAACGAAAAATGTGAACTTGGAAAACCTAAAATCTTCAGTATATTACAAAAGACACTTACGAGTAGTACAGAATATAAGGAAGAATATAAAAAGCTACATAATTTAAAATGTAAATACTAAATAAATAATTGTTTAAAAGTTTATAAATTAAATAAAACAATATACAGTGTGTCCAATAATGATACGTCCACCCTAATTTTTAGCGATTTTGATATGTTATTGATATAAAATCATTTTGATATTTTTTATACATAATATTTTAGTGTACTAAAATATTAAGATTAAAACTAGTATTCCGCATTAAATATCTATTAGAAAAATTTTAATAATCATTTTATCAAAATAAGGTGTACAAAAATGATACGTCCACTTTACAAAAAAGGTATTTCCAACATTAAGAAAAATCTATAAAAATTCCAGTAAACATGTATATATTGATAATAAGAGAAAATAAAAAAGAAAAAAAATTAATTTGCCCGCAATACAAGCGCCACTCGGAGCTTCCCTTGTTGCACGTCTTTTCATTCGTATTTTTACTGTGTAATAAAATTTTCATTGCAATTTTTTTCATTGCAAATCTGAGTGGGGATATAGGGATTTAAAGAGCATTAGAGGATTTTTGTGGATTAATGCGGATACCGGAGAGAATACCAATATCGCCTCTAAAGCGACTAACCCCTAAATATCTCCACCTAATCCTCTAAATAATATCCACACACATCCTCTTAATTGCTCAAAATCACACGATATATTTCTTTCACTAAATCGGGCATATTAAAAACTATAATGGACCAGGTATATATCAAAGTATTTGAATAATATCAGAGGATTTGGAGGCCAAATATTTTAGCATTCGTAACAATTTTTATTTTGAAATTTATTTTTTCCGGAATATCAACTATAAAATTTACTTTATGAAATTGATAACTTCATTCACTAAAGTTACAAAAATTTTGAGATTAGCATAGACAAAATTTTTATTTTACTAGAATGCTTATTAATTTACAAGTGTATTAATAATTTTAGTCACATATATTTAATCATTTTTCAGAAAATTTTTATAAAATCTTATACTTTAAATTTCTTGAATCATTCCCTCATTTCATTCATTTTCTTTATAATCAGTTACAATAAAACCAATTGTTTACTGCATTTATGCATTTTCCACTCCCAGCTCCGCTTCGGGTTTGAAAGTTTTGCCTCTTTAATAGAATAAATATTATTCCGAATATTTTTTATTTTCAACCTTAAGACATGCACAGATTTGATTCTTTTGATTTTTGCAACAAAAGTCAACTTAAAATAATTAAGTTTAATTTTAAATGATTTGATAATAAAATAACGCGCAATAACAAATAGCAGTAGAAAGTTCTACAAAAACTTTTTTCACTGATTAACACCCCTTAAAACCATAGGGGGCCAAGCTGAATGGTGTTAAAAAATTCGATATTCAACACAAGAAAACATATTTTTGTTGTGTTAATGAGCAATACTCTTTCAGTACTCGAGAATCTCTTTATATTCTAGCATCAAATAGTCTAAAACCAGAAATTTTCTAAAACTCGAGACCAAGACTAAACACCAAGACTAAAATCAAGATCAAGACTTGAACCCAAGATTCAAGACGAAAAATTACAAAGTCCCAAATAAGTTTTTGGATTCCTTAGTGAAATTTTTAGTTTATTTTTTGTCGAGATCGTGGTTTCGGGGGATGGGTTTTTACCCTACTATGATTTTCACGTAAAAACAAGCATTCATTCTTAAGCCAAGGATCTAACCTATCACCTATTTCATTGCGAAGGGGATCAAGCATGATGAATTTTGTGAAAATGGACCGCCATAAAATGCGGAATTGAGTAGTCTTACGATATCCATATCAGTCTTAATCCCTGCATATCTTCGTAATATGCAGGGATTGTAGTTTGAAATCTGAGCGAAATCTTAAATGTCATGAGCTATAATATTATGCCAAATATAACATCAGAATATGTGGGATTTTCGCAAAATTATATCGAAAACTTAATCAAAGCATTTTATCCTACTTTTAGCCAAAGTAGTTCTTCTGTCACACACTGTAGTTTCAATTGACTAAAAGAAAATTATTTATTTTCGATTTAAATTAATTAATTAAAAATCTTACGGCTTGTTTGCCTTCATCAACCAAATTACAAAATTCTAATGAAACTGAGTTCACTTCATTATAGTAAAGGAAAAAGCAGACCAAGAAAAGGAAAAAAGGAATTTGTTGCATTTTAATGTATATTAGGAAGCTTCAATTTATTTTTTAATAAAACGACAGTAGTTACCTCAAAATAATTAGATAATATATGTAGGTAGTTTATCGCTATTACTTAGTTTAAAAATAAATTAAAATAAATTAATAATAAACATTAATCTGGGATGTTTTATATCACCCTTCCACATACGCAGATTCTAATTAAATAATGACGGATTCCACCAAGAAACTTTTTTTGGCTGAAAAAAAATTCTAAAAAATTTTTTAAATATAAGCCACGTATAATATTTCAAAAATCAGAATCAAAAAATTTTTTTTATAAATATTGACGTGGCAATAATATATTTTAGTATTTTTTAAAATTTTTATTAATCCAAAAAAGTTTCTTTTTTGGAATCCATTTAATTAATGTTTGTATTGAAGTGATATAAAAAATTAAAATAAAATTAAATTTAATCAAAGCTGGCCATTATACAAACAAGCATTTCCGATTAAATAAAAAATTTTAAAATGTTTAGTTGTGGAAATTTCCACCTCATAATTCCTTTAATTGAAAGATATTCAAAGGAAAGTAGATTGTTTATTAAATTTAAGGGAAAAACCTTATAAACTAATTACATGTATGAATTGTAATTTATTATTGCTTGAAGGTGGAGTAAGGTGATTAGAATTCCTTTTCATGGACTGAAACCTTTTTCAATTTCAAAAGTTTATTAATAATATAAATTTTATAACGAATTATTATATCTAAAATAAGTATTAAACCATGAATTTTCAAACTGAATTTACTTCAAGTGCTGAATTGATTTACCTATTCTTTCGATAAATATATTTAAAATTAAATCTGATGTAAATTATTGTCAATATTTTGCTTATACATAATATTTTTATTTTTATTATTTACTAAATTTATTATTTACCAAATTTACCAATTAAAATAATCATTCTGTTATCTGATAATTAAATAAATATTATGTAAAAAACTTAGTTGATAATTGACTTACTTGAGAGTTAATTAATTGTTAATTTGTGCTGAATTGTCATCTTTGCAATTCTGAATAATCTTCAATGGGTATATCAATTTATAGAGTATTATTTTTTATTGTTATTATTGCCATATTATTATTATATAAATTTTTTATTTATTCCTCAAGTTTTATTAATAGCAAGAATTCACACAATGATAATGTAGTATTTATATTATTTATTGATAAGCATTTAGACGAACATCGAATATTATATTGAGAAATATTTTAATTAAAATTTTTATATTATTAAAAAAACTTTTTGGTTTTTGTATTTATTATAGTTATTTTTTATGTTGAATTTGAGAAATATATATTTTATTATAATAACTTCATTGAAATTTTAATTTTGAATAGATGAAGAATTTCGGCATTTATATTTCCAATCAACTTCACATCAAAAATTTTAATTTTGAAATAAATGAAATCTTGCTTCATATAAAAATTTAAGCACAAAAAACTCAATCAGTATATCCCCAATTTCCATATTTATATAAAGATCTAATTAAAATTATGTTTCAGAGGAATATTAAGCTAACCGCTCTATTTATTTCCTTCAAAGTTATATAAAATATAATATGCTAATTTATATCATATTATAAATTTATTTCACTCAAATTACTCAAAGTAAATCAAATTTAAATTTTAATGTTTTTTAAACTTTTATTTATAATCGTTTTCTTCTATTTCTAAACATATAAATATTTATTATCTTTTAAAATAGAGAAGAAATTTTTGAAATTTTAAAATAATTTAATTTGCATTATAAAAAGAAACTTATTTAAAAATTTATATCGTGATTTCGATGCATATATCCT